ATGAAACCAAGAGCTGGTTCTTTGAAAGGATAAACAAGATCGACAAACCTCTAGCCAGGCTCACCAAGAAGCAAAGAGAGAGGACCCAAATAAACAAAATCAGAAACGATAGAGGCGAAATAACAACAGACCCCACAGAAATACAAATGATTGTTAAAAAATACTATGGACAGCTCTACTCCAACAAACTAGACAACCTGGAGGAAATGGACAAATTCCTAGAAAAATACAACATTCCAAAACTCAATCAGGAAGAATCTAAAAATCTCAATAGGCCAATAACTATGGAAGAAATTGAAGCAGTCATCAAAAAGCTTCCAGCAAACAAAAGCCCAGGACCAGACGGCTTCACAGGGGAGTTTTACCAAACATTCAAGGAAGAACTAAAACCTACCCTCCTCAGACTACTACAAAAAATTCAAGAGGAAGGAACACTTCCAAGCTCATTCTATGAAGCCAGCATCACCCTAATACCAAAACCAGGTAAAGACAACACAATGAAAGAGAATTACAGGCCAATATCCCTCATGAACATAGATGCCAAAATCCTCAACAAAATCTTAGCAAATCGGATCCAGCAGTACATCAGAAAGATCATACACCATGACCAAGTAGGATTTATCCCAGGGATGCAAGGATGGTACAATATCCGCAAATCAATAAACGTGATACATCACATAAACAAATTGAAAGAAAAAAACCACATGGTCATATCAATTGATGCAGAAAAAGCATTTGACAAAATCCAACACCCATTTTTGATAAAAACTCTCAGCAAGGTGGGAATAGAAGGATCATACCTCAACATAATAAAAGCCATATATGACAAACCCACAGCCAACATCATACTCAATGGACAAAAACTAACACCATTTCCCCTAAAAACAGGAACAAGACAGGGATGCCCACTCTCACCACTCCTGTTCAACATAGTACTGGAAGTATTAGCCATTGCAATTAGGCAAGAAGAAGAAATAAAAGGCATCCAAATTGGAAAAGAGGAAGTAAAACTGTCCTTATTTGCAGATGACATGATATTATACTTAAAAAACCCTAAAGACTCCATCAAAAAACTATTAGACTTAATAAAAGAATTCGGCAATGTAGCAGGATACAGAATTAACGCCAAGAAATCTATGGCATTTCTATACACCAATAGTGAACTTGCAGAAAGAGAGACTAAAAAAGCAATCCCATTTACCATCTCACCAAAAAAATTAAGCTACCTAGGAATAAACTTAACTAAAGAGGTAAAAGACCTCTACTCAGAAAACTACAGGACGTTGAAAAAAGAGATAGAGGAAGACATAAAGAGATGGAAGAACATACCATGTTCTTGGATTGGTAGAATCAACATCATTAAAATGTCCATACTACCCAAAGCAATCTATAAATTCAACGCACTTCCCATTAAAATACCAACGGCATATTTCACAGACCTAGAACGAACTCTCCAAAAATTCATCTGGAACAAAAAACGACCCCGAATAGCTGCAGCGATCCTGAGAAAGAAGAAAGTAGGTGGGATCTCAATACCAGATATCAAGCTGTATTACAAAGCCACTGTTCTCAAAACTGCCTGGTACTGGCACAAGAACAGACATATAGATCAATGGAATAGAATAGAGAGCCCAGAAATCAGCCCCAACCAATACGCTCAATTAATATTTGACAAAGGAGGCAAGAACATACAATGGAGTCAAGACAGTCTCTTCAATAAATGGTGCTGGGAAAATTGGACAGATACATGCAAGAAAATGAAACTAGACCACCAACTTACACCATACACAAAAATAAACTCAAAATGGATAAAGGACTTAAATATACGACCGGAAACCATAAAAATACTAGAAGAATCCAAAGGCAACAAAATCTCAGACCTATGCCGAAGCAATTTCTTCACCGATACAGATCCTAGGGCATTGGAAACTAAAGAGAAAATAAACAAATGGGACTACATCAAAATAAAAAGTTTCTGCACAGCAAAAGAAACCATCAACAAAACAACAAGAAAGCCCACTACATGGGAGAACATATTTGCCAACATTATATCTGATAAGGGCCTAATCTCCAACATTTATAGGGAACTCATACAACTTAACAAAAGGAAGATAAACAATCCAATCAAAAAATGGGCAAAGGACCTAAATAGACACCTTTTAAAAGAGGACATTCAGAAAGCCAAGAGACATATGAAAACATGCTCAAAGTCGCTAATCATCCGAGAGATGCAAATCAAAACAACAATGAGGTACCATCTCACACCTGTCAGAATGGCTATCATCAACAAATCAACAAACGACAAGTGCTGGAGAGGATGTGGAGAAAAAGGAACACTTGTGCACTGCTGGTGGGAATGCAGACTGGTGCAGCCACTATGGAAGACAGTATGGAGTTTCCTCAAAAAACTGGAAATGGAACTCCCATTTGACCCTGTGATCCCACTTCTAGGAATATATCCCAAGAAACCAAAAACACCAATCAGAAAGGATATATGCACCCCTATGTTCATAGCAGCACAATTCACCATAGCTAAGATTTGGAAACAGCCTAAGTGCCCATCAGTAGATGAATGGATTAGAAAACTGTGGTACATCTACACGATGGAATACTATGCTGCTGTAAAAAAGAAGGAACTCTTACCATTTGCAACAGCATGGATGGAACTGGAGAGCATTATGCTAAGTGAAATAAGCCAGTCAATGAAGGAAAAATACCACATGATCTCACTCATTCATGGATAATAGAGACCATTATAAACTTTTGAACAATAATAGATACAGAGGCAGAGCTGCCTCAAACTGATTGGCAAACTGCAGTGGGAAAGCCAGGGAGGGTTGGGGGGCAGGAGGGAGGGGACACTGGGGGGTAGGGGAAGCCGGGGAAATGTCAAGGGCGGGGAAAAAAAGGACACATATGTAATACCCTTTTGTAATGCTTAAGCAATAAAAAAAAAATAAAAAATAAAAATAAAATTATATAGGGAAAAAAAAAAAGAATATGCTCTAGGAAAGATCTATCTTAGTTCACATTTTAGACTGCCTTTTTGAACATCAGACATCAGCAAAACACCCAACAATGTCAGCTTTAGATATAAGAATTGTGTCTAGGTCACAATGGAAAACTTTCCACATTTTTAAAAAAATGTGCATGCTCTTTATATACTAATATAAAGCTTACTCTGATATACTGCTATGTTAAAAATAAAAGACTGAGCCTGCTGGGTGGCTCAGTCAGTCGGAGCATCATCCTGTACACCAAAAGGTCGTGGGTTCAATTCCCAGTCAGGACATATATCCAGGTTGCAGGTTCAATCCCTGGTTGGGGCGTGAGTGGGAGGCAATGACCAATGTCTGTCTATCTGCCTCTCTCTCTCTCTCTCTCTCTCTCTCTCACACACACACACTCCCCACCCCCTTCCTCTCTGTTTAAAATCAATAAAAACATAACCTCGGGTGAGATTAAAAAATATAAATAAATAAAAGGCAAGATGCAGACCTGTGTTTAGTGCTGCCTTTCAATGAGAATGGGGGAGGCCTATTTGTAACATATGTGCAGAAAGTACTCCGGGTACTTTCAGGGACAATCTGGACAGCTCAGTATAGGTGGGGTCCTGGATGGGAAACTAGAACAGAAAAAGGACATTAGTTAAAAGCTAAGGAATCTGAATACGTATGGGCCTTAGTTAATAATGATATGTCAATGCGGCTCCTTAATTGTAACAAACGAACCATACTAACATAAGATGTTAATAACTGGCAAAACTGGAAGTGGGTATATGGGAACTGTCTGTACTATCTTCTCAATTTTTCTGTAAACCTAAAACTGTTTTACATTTCTTTTTTTTAAATATATTTTTATTGATTTCAGAGAGGCAGGAAGATAGAGAGATAGAAACATCAATGATGAGAGAATCATTGGTCTGCTGCGTCCTGCATGCCCCCCACTGGGGATTGAGCCCGCAACCCAGGCATGTGCCCTTGACCGTAATTGAACCTGGGACCCTTCAGTCCATAGGCCGACGCTCTATCCACTGAGCCAAACCAGCTAGGGGGGGTTTACATTCCTTAAAAGTTAACATTTTGGGGGTTTTTAATGCCATTGAAACCATGGAGTGGTTGTATCAGGAACCTACGGTAAGTAGGACCAGGGCAGTTCACCTGGTAGCAGGTGAGACAGACCTCCCCTCCAGTCCCCGTATGTGCTATGAGCCAAGGGAAGGAAGGAGAGGCCAATTCTGCTCCACCAGAGGGATGCAGAGAAGCCTCCACAGGGGAGGGGGCATTTGGGCTGGAATTATGGGATGAGGAGAGGATATCATGGGCATGAAAGATCCAAGGACTTGTTCTGCCACTTACTGGCTACGTGACCTTGAGCAAGTCATTTTACCTTCCCAGGCCTCAGCATCTTCATGCAAACAGTTCAACTAAATGGTCTCTATCACAGATTCAGCTACACCATCACCCCCCACCCCCGCCACCAATCAAATGGGTTCTCTCTCCCCCAGAATGTTTCTTCCTAATAAGCTACATGAAGAGTCCTGACCTCAAAACTAGTTGGAGAAGGCAGTGAGGAGGTAAGGATGAAACAAGCCACACACACACACACACACACACACACACACACACACACACTCCTAAGACTTGCTGTTCATCTATGCATTCAACTAATATCATTCAGACACAGTTCCAGGCACAGAGGATAGAGAGGAATCAGACTGATAAAACTCCCTGCCTCACGGAGCTTATGTCCTGGATGGGGGATACCCTTGTTGGAGAAGATAGATAAGAACAAGGTAAGCAAGTACATGAGCTGGCGATGAGAGCTAAGGAGAAAAATCAAGGAAGGAAAGGATATAGGAAGAAGGTGGGGCAGGAGGCTGCAGCTTTAGTTGGGCGTGGCTGAGCGGGAAACTACCTAGAAAAGGTAGAGGAAGCCGCCCGCCCGCATCTCAGGGAGGAGAGTGTTCCAGGCCGAGGAAGAGCCTGCGGCGGGAGCAATGGGAGCCTGGGCATCTCGCTGGAAACAGCCAGGAGGAGGCATGTGCTGCTGGAGGGAAGTGTGCAGGGGAAGTGGTAAGAAAAATAAAGTCAGGGGAGTAGGGCAAGGGAGAGCTCACGGAGAGCCCAGCAGGACACTGGCAGACTTTTTGGAGGGTTTAAAGCAGAGTGGCATGATCTGAGTTAAGTTTTAGCAGGATCACTCTGAGTCAGAGTGAAGAATAACTCAAGGGGCACGTGCAGAAGCTGGTCCCAGGCCTACAAGAGACAAGCAACCATCTCTGCAAAGCTCTGGTGGGGGTGGGGGCAGGGGAGGGTGGAAGTAGGGGAGGGAATCCAGTAAGGAGCAGGCAGGCCATGCTATGTACAGCCCCCACCAAACATCCGCCATAGGGGATGTGTCAAGGCCTGTACTGGAGCAAACTTTTCATGGTGTGGCCCAGGAATCAAACCCTGCTTTCAACGGAAGCAAGAAGAGGCCTCACAAACAAATGGGCGCCTGTAAATAAAGTGTCCTTTACATCTACAAAGGCCATTAATCCCATTCCAACTGCAAAGAAAGAACACAAACCGTAGCTTTAGCTTCCAAAGCCCTGGGCCCCAGTCCAATGAAGATACCTGTGAAAAGAGCTGTGATCCCATGACCCAGCCGCACACCAGCCCGAGAAAGGACACTGTTGTTTAAGTGCTGTGTGACTGCCCCACACTGCTGATAGCATTAGCACTTCTCAGCATATGCCTGCGCACCAGCTGAAGGAGAAAAGGTAGTTGCCAGGCAGGCACCAAGGGCCTTTTGCCAACTACTTAGATATTTTAATTCCCCGTTGCCTCAGCAGCTAAATAAGCATGGAGAACAAGCAGACGAGGAATACTAATTAGAGCTAATTAGGCCCTGCCCTCTTCCGCCTCAATCCCCTTTGTACAAAGCCCCTCAATTCAAGGATGATGGAGCCAGAATGTAAATACCTAGGGTAAACAGCAGTCCACACACCAGGCCCGCATCTGCATTTCATTGTCCTGTCACTTCTAAACCTACATCTGATTACCTGAAGAGGGCCACCAACCCACAGGCACATTCCAACAGACCCAGGAACATGGGGGTGGGGGCAAATGCTGCCACCAGGAGTCCTCTAAATAGACTAAAGGGCTCAGAGCATTCTGTTAGCAGGGCATCACTAAAAGGACATTTAAAAAGTAATAAACTATGATAGCAAACACGATGCTAGTCCTGCCATAAGATCAATAGCACATTCCCCACTCCTTAGGGAGCAAGGGCTCACCCCAGAGAAACCCTCCCTTGGTTCTGGGGGAAGACCGGTCCCAGGGCCCTGTCCCGAGGCTCTTGGCCATGGGATAATTCGGAGAGCAGAGAAGAAAAGCCTGGGATGGGGGGTTGTCAGCTTGTTTGAAATGAGCACCCTGAAAAGTCTGTTTCCAGCTGCATGACGCACAGAGATGAAAGTGTGGTGAAAGCAATAGACAGGCAACTTGGCTAATGGTATAGGCCAGTGGTCGGCAAACTCATTAGTCAACAGAGCCAAATATCAACAGTACAACGATTGAAATTTCTTTTGAGAGCCAAATTTTTTAAACTTAAACTATATAGGTAGGTACATTGTTATTAACTTAATTAGGGTACTCCTAAAGCTTAGGAAGAGCCACACTCAAGGGGCCAAAGACCCGCATGTGGCTC